CGGCCCATTATACAGCCGTAGGGAAGCCTATAACACCTAAGGGAGCTGTAAGGCTCCCTAGGGTATGAAGGTATAAGGACACGAGATTACGTGATTAGATTAGGAGGGATCGAACTAATCTAAGTGGACTCGTCGGACGGGCTTAGTCTAATCCAGCCTAAGTAAGGATTAGATAGGATCAGTATAATCTAAGAGTATAGTAGAGGATAGAGGGATATATAAGGAAGGGGATTTCCTAGATAGACAGCTAGATCTCTACTAATTAATCTAAGCAATAGTTCTACTATTAGGAGTAATCTCCTAAACGTGACTCAAGCTATGATACTACTCATCTGCACCTATGGTGCATTTAACCTAACTCACTTCCTAAGAAACAGATTTACTATGGATTAGAGAAGAGCCACCGTTACAATAGATTCCTACTATTCTAAAGCTTTCTTAATTAAAAGGTTACTAATATAAAGGATTTTATCTTTAGTAGTAGTAAGAGTAGTATTATTAACTTAAAGGTAAGTATTAATCTATATAAAGAAGTTTTTATATTACTCTTATATCTATTATAGATTTCTAGTTTAAAAACTTAGGTTTTTTATTTCTTCTAACTTAGAGTTACTTTTAAAGTTAGTCTTTTTTTTCTTAAGTTTATTAATATTATTTTATTATCTTTTAGTATATTTCTAAAATTATTTATTATCCTTTTTAAATTATTTAACTCTTTTTAAAAGCCTCTAAAGAGTCTTAGTAGTATTATTAGTAAGTCTATTTATAGTTAATATTTTAATTATTTACTTAAGGTTTTTTATAGTAACTTATTAAATAGGACTAATAAAAATATAATAGTAGTTTATTCTTAATCTTAAATTAGAATAAATATATATAGAGTATATATAAGTAAATATTATAATATAAGTCTTATTAGAAGATTACTCTTAATAGTAAAACTATTATTTAGATTAATTAATAGAGATTTAGTTTAACTATTTACTAAAAATCCCCTTCTTTATATATTTATCCTATCCTCTACTATATTACTTAGATTATTAGCTTATTTACTAATCCTAGTAATCCTAGATTAGTACTAGATTACTATAATCCCTAATAACCTAGTCACGTGACTAGTTCCTTTATTCCTACGCCCTTATAAGCGCCCTATAGTTAAATGTTAGGCCGCCCTGCCCCTTATCTGCAGCATCTCAGTGCATTTATAACACTTGCCGTGTCCGTTCACCTCTGAAATCTGATACGCTCGATCCCCCTCTAAGAGTTTATATAGCTCATCTCGATTTTAGGCGTGTGAGAAAGGGCTTCATACACACGCAAAGAGGGTCACTGACCTTCTTGGTGAATAAAGCGGGGTTGCCAGGACAGCTTAGCCTTACAGGATTCGAGGAGCTAATGCCACGTTCAACCTTCACTAATGTGACCACACTCTTCAAAACTGTGCTGTCTACGCATACGCCTGCATATAAGTCCACAGTGGTGATCCAACCGGGGGTTGACACGATGCCGTACATGCGGCTGGTGTTGCCCTGCCCGCAGAGTCAACGCGAGTCGCAGCAGCGAAGTGGTTATTAATATAAACTGGTTTAGGCGAGACTATAATAATGATTGATTTGCCTTACACGAGAGGTAAGTCATACATAACCTGTTAAAAGGCGTCGAGCTTAGCCCTCCGTAGACGGCTAGAGGTGTTATAGAGTAATCTGTTAATAGCTTAACAGTATGACTTATACCTACACAGACAACCTAAAGGCCTAGAATAGAGAAGACAAGAAGATTAGTGGTGGATTGTTTGATTAAGAATAAATACGTAACACGCCATTCCCTCAATATCAGGTGTCTCAGTCCACAATGCATGTTGAAAGCATCTCCAGGCTGTCCAAGCGAGTCAGTTGAATGACCCTGTCCTTAATTCAAATAGACTGACAAAACCTGTAAAACAGCCGTAAAACTCCTTAAGGGGGCCCATTCTCTCTGACTTTCTGCATGACAACTCTGGCGAGAGAATCCATACTGTCGTGGGTACTGAGTTTGTCTAGGATGAGTTTCCCGTTCCAGCCCTTGACGCTGATGTAGCGAACGTGTCCTTCGACTGAATGGCTCTTGCGCTCGAATGACATGGCAAAACGCCAGTCAGCAGCTTGAAGGGCCGCTCCCAGACTGACCGTGTTGTCGTGGCAGCCCCTGGGGCCCCAGATCCTTTCGCCCTTGAAATTGAGTGTGCCCGTGAGGTTGTGGCCTTCCACGGAGTGCTCCTTATTCTCAGTCCAGACTTCCATCGTTGTTGTGTTGGTACTCGATGGAGTTAGTAGGTAGGAAATGCTTGTGTAAAGTAGCTTCTCATACCTGTTTAGGTGCTTTAGTGATGAATATAAAAATGTTAGGTCTAGTAGTAGAGGTGAGGAAAGAGATTATGCTGGTTTATGGTCTTCATCTTAAGAATATAACTCCCTTTATATATTTAGTAGGGGCTTTAGTAGCTAAGTTGTTCGTTATAGACTTCATGCATGCTAGGGATGCTGTTATAGAAGTAGAAGGAGAGTGGTACTTATTAACTAAGTTAGGTTATTATAGACTTTATACATAGTAGTGTATTTAATACTTAATACTTAATATAGTCTTATATTACTATTAAGTATTAAGTATTAAATAATAAAAAATTTAATATTAAATATAGGGTAAGAATATTAAAAAGAATTATACACTAATTAAACACAATATTAATGAAAAGGAACTACGACTGTTAATAAAACAGTGAAGCGCTTTCGGCAGAACAGCTAGGGCTCCCGTAAAGCTGCTAGTAATCTAGAAATAAATAATACTATAATTCTATTACTTAACTATGCCACGATGGGCGTATAGTTCAGCCAAGTAGGTTTTTACTCTCTTATTTTTTTTCTCGATGTATTACACTATACCTAGACTTTTTAAGCCCAGTTCCCTAAGACTTTATCTTTCCGCGCCGACTGGGGGCCTGAAGATGACCTTAGTTCGTTTACTGGAATGCGGAGAGCATGTCTTATCTGCGCTAACAGTGTGGGTGGTAGGCAGATTGATGGCTTTTTCCTATAATAAGAGGACCATACTGGCGTTAGAAGTTACAGCTGTGAGAGTTTTTTGCCTTCAAACTGAGGTTCCAAATTCACAACGCCTTTCTTTATTAATACACCTGATTCGCAGCGGCGCTGTTAGGAACCCCTAAGGTTTTGTTGGTTTTATTGACACAAACATAACCCGTCTTCCGATGCCGCCAATCGTAATGGTACAATCGACACCGTAAAAACCGTTATGGGTGTCACTAGCGCTTTTAGTTAATATTAGTGACCTGGCGGGGTAAATCAGAACCGCTATTTCAGCAGCCAAAATACACCCCACTAAAATTATTATGTTAGAAACCCGCGACACCCATAACGGTGTTTACGGTACCGCAACAGTCACGTAGTCACCTGCACTGCATGTATTGATGCAGAGTTACACAGCCTACGGTCCAGACCCAGGCCATGCTGTGACGACACCAAGACGCAGAAAAAGGGATAGTTAGCGACACCCACTTCCATTGTCCCCGACTGCTGCTCTTTCTCTCTCTTACTCTCTTTCTATAGCTCTATCGCTCTGCCCCTTCTCGGTAGACATCGTCATCCCCGCAATCCGTACGTTGCTTTTAACCAGGTCATGGATGGCAAGCGGCGATGCCACGCCACTCGCTAGCTAAGACTAAGTAGCTCCTGTGAGGATCTCGCGTCAAGCGGACGCTTAGGGACGGTTCTTGAAGGAGATGAATAAGTAACTAAGTTGATACTAGGTTCTAGATACAAGACGTAGCGTAAGGAAGCAAGAGAAAGAAAGCGTGGCTTCCTGATGCGCAGAAGGAACAAGGGTATCACGTGGTCACGTGATACCGCGGCGGCGTCAGCATGGGATCGAGACAACCAGCGCAAACATCCACTAGCGCAGACTCACTCCCACGGCAGGTGGCTGCCCCGGGAACGCGCGTTTCACGGCTTACCCTTGAGCAGCCATCAAAGAGGACAGCGCCTGGTGAGGACATCCTCACTCAGAGGCTGTCCCTACAAGTCCCTCCCCCACCGTGCGATAGCCTTGGCAGGCTGGACATCCAACAACGCGGACATCCACCATCTTCGATGTCCACCAGCGGATGAGCACGCTAACCAAAATTTTATGCTGGCACCTATTCGGGCCAGAAATCTGCTGGCATTATCATAGCAGTCATCCATTCCGGTAATGGGTGGGATGAGTAAGGATGTCCTCCCACAGGCGCTATGCCACGAAGGACGGCCTCGTGGCAGGGGCTGTTCACACTACGCTGTCGCAGTGGCAGGGACAGCCATTCGGCTACAGCCCCTAATGTGGGACACCCTAAAGAGGATAGCACCCTAGGAGGACATCCTCGCTTAGAGGCTAGCTCAATAAGCCCGGCCTCTACTATATAATAGCCCTAGTAGGCTAGTGGTTATTTAGGCTAGTATCTAAAGGAAATAATAGTAGGAGGGCTATTATAACTTAATTTATTTTTATATATTTTATTAGTTACTCTTTACTATTAAGTCTCTTTTTCTTAACTATTAATTATAGTACTATATAAATTATATTAGTCTTTATTAATCTTATTTAATTAAAACACACTTTAACTATTAGTACTTAATTCTTACTATTAAAAAGACTTATATTCCTCTATTAGTACTTATAAATTACTATACTTTAAAAGAATCTTCTATATTTACTATAACCTTATAATAGTAGCTTAATCCTAATCTATAGTAAGTCTATTTCTTAAGTAGAGAGTTAAATAAATATATATAGAGTATATATAAATAGATAATATATTATAAGTTATATTAAAAGATTACTCTTAATAATAAAATTATTATTTAGATTAATTAATAGAGATCTAGTCTAGTTATTTACTAGAAATCCTCTTTCTTTATATATGTATTTTATTCTCTACTATAAGTCCTTATTTACTATACTCACTTATAATTATAGTGTATACTACTTACCCTACTTACTAGTAAGTAAGGTAATTACTTATATAACTAACTATCTTTATTAGGCGTCCTATAGGCGCCTATTAGTCACTCCTCTAGGCTATCTATTCTAGCTACCTTCTTCTTTTTATAATATTATACTCTTTCTCTATTAGTCTTATCCTTAAGGCTTATTTATTCTAATCCTATTAGTATATTCTTATTTTCTTTTTTATATTACTATATTTTTATACTATATTTATTAAATTAAAAAATCCTACTTATAGAAATATATTAAATATAATATTATTATTAAGGATTTTTATTTATTATATTATAGTCTTTACTTTTACTATAGTATATAAAATATAATAGTAAATAATAAAAACTATTATTCTAAATATAATTATTATAGTTATTTTTATAATAGGGTTTTTATTAGAGTTTCTCTTAAAAAGGCTACTATAGCTCTAAATAAAGTCTTAGTCTAAAAACTAAAAGTAGAGAATATACTAACTAAAGCCTAAGAAAAGGTATTAGTTATTTATAAAGATATAATAAAGGCTCTTAGTATTATAAATATATAGGATGTATAAGTAGGGCTAAGTGAGTTAGACTAAGTTAGACACACTAGTACCTAGAATAGGATATAAGGTTATATAACCTAAGAGGTAATTAATAGATTACTTATTAATTATTATAATTAAAAAGATTACTAGATAAATAAATAATCTAGTAATCTTAGTAATATAGTAGAGAATAGGATAAATATATAAAGAAGGGGGTTTCTAGTAAATAACTAGACTAGATCTCTACTAATTAATCTAAGTAATAGCTCTACTATTAAAAAGATATCTCTTAATATAACTTATACTATAATAAACTATTTATTTATACTCTATACACTTAAACTAACTCTCTTCTTAAGAAATAGACTAACTCTAGATTAGGATTAAGCTACTATTATACTTAGTTATTTAACTTAGCTTTAAAATTAAAAATAGGTTCTTTATTCTAAAAAGAAGGAGTTATTTCTTTATAGTATAGTAGAGTTAGGTTAGAAGGATAAATTAATGAAAGTGTCTCCTACTAACCTTAACTTACTTAAGTTAGAAGCTATAGTTAATACTTATATAGTTAGTAAGTCTAATAGAGTAGATTAGACTATAGTATTCTATAATACTCTATAGACGTTTATAATAGATCCTAATAGACAGAATATTATTCTTTAAACTACTAGAGTAAGTATAAGTAGTTTATAAAGTGTTTTATTAGTTCTTATATATTTTTAGAGTTTAAATATCTTTTTATTTAATAAAATAATAATAATTCTTTTTTATACTTAATATTTTAAGTATTTTCTTAACTTTATATTTATTTATATTTTTAATAGTAATATCTATAGTGAGTGTTATATTACTTAGTGCTTTTTCTAATAATAAAATATAAAATATAGGATATATCTTTATTCCCTTAGGTAATAATAGTTTATAGTTAGTATTTAATATTTTTTATTTAATAAGGAATAGTCTAATCTTTTTCTAGTTAAGTTTATTACTAAGTCGTTTTATTTTAATGTTTTTATAGATAAAGTAAACTTTATCTCCCCTCTCTAGGATTAATACTAGTAATTTATTTTCTAAGTTATTTATAGTCTATTATATAAACACTAATTATTCTATTTAATTATTTTATTTATAGTTTATATTTATTATTACTTATATTATACTAAATAGGTTAGTCTACTTATCTAGTTCCTCTATAAGTTTAATAGTAAAGGAAAAACTAGAGTCTTTAGAAGAAAACCTTTACTTCTACTATAGGTAGTTAGCCCTATATTAGTTCCTAGTAGGATCTAGTATAGGCCCCTCTCTTAATCCCTAGGTTTTTATTTTTAGTCCTATCCTTTCTATTACTTCTCTTCCCCCCTCTCTAATATCTTCCACCTTATTATTACTACCTTCCCTAGTTATATAGACTGTATTAGAGCTAGGGTGTTCTTAGTCACTTTTATCTTAGCTAACTAGGCCTAACTCTCTAATATTCTTAGGGAGATTCACTATATTAACTACTAGCTCTCCCTACTAGTTAGTATCTATATATAATAGTAGTTCTTCTCTAATCTATAGTAAATCTATTTCTTAGAAAGTAAGTTAGATTAAATATATAATAGAGTATAAATAAGTAGTATTATAACTTAAGTTATATTAAGAGATTACTCCTAATAGTAAAACTACTATTTAGATTAATTAGTAGAGATTTAGTCTAACTATTTACTAGAATCCCTCTCTTTA